ACACCTTCCTGCAGTCCCTGGCTGCAGCACCCACTACCTGTCCTGCCTGCATGCCAGACCTCCAGCCCAGGCATCATTAGGGTAACAAGCATGGGAAGGTCACATCCCCTTCCTGCGAGGACCTCTCCCTGCCCTGTGCTGTGGGGTGGGGTGCTCGAGTCAGCATCGTGCTGCAGCTGCCCCCTCTATCCCCCTCCCCCCTTTCCGGGGGCAGTGGGCATCCCTGCCAGGGCAGGCGGCCCCAGGCAGGGCCGGGACAGTGAGGGACCTCACGGGGGGACAAGGGGAGGGAGTGGGGGACAGGCATGGGCTGTGCGCTCCAAGGAGCAGGGGGAGAGGAGGTTTTGTACCTCATCGTGTCACTGATTTTGAAGTCCTGGAGCTAGAGCTGAATGAACAGTAAAAGCAGGTTAAATCATTAACCAGTTAGGGGATGGGGAAGCAGCTGTAAAAGGAACAGAGGAAGAAGGCCAGATTATTATTTTTCTTTCTTTTTTTTTTTTTTTTTCCCCTTGTCTTCTCTCATCTTCGCTCGCCATGCCCCGATCACAAGCCCTGCTTGGCCAGCGAAGCAGACACTTCGTCGGCTAACGTGGCGAGCTGGGGGGAGTCCACCATATTGATGCTGCCGGTGGAGGAGACATTGCTAAGGCGGCGTGGGGAGGCATCTCCGGAGATGGTGGGGGACTTGTAGACAATTTCGGCGCCGTGGTCAGTCTTGGCTTTGGCGTTCTCACGGAAAGTCAGCTTATGAGTCTCAATCTGCAACGAGAGGAGAGGGCAGTAAGTAGGGAGGATGTGGGACACCATCCAGAGAAACCGTTTTTACCTGCAAACTGTCCACTTGGTCACTGCCGTTGTGCAGCTGGGAGGAAAGTTCAATTCATTGGCCTGATGTCCCCAGTGCCCCCAGTCCTCAGGCACGTCCCTTCCAGTAGCCCACAGTGGGAACTGGAACAACTGGAGGGGATGGCAGGACTGCAGCATTGCGGGATGCTGCCAAATCCTTCCCAAGTCCAGGCCCGGTGTGGCGGTGGGTCCCAGGCACAGGACTCAGACGGCACAACCTGGGCTGCTCCCACTCCCCTGGCAGAGATTTACAGAGGGGGTGGGATCCCCATACGGCGCATAAGGCTCCCCCTTGAGCTGGGCTCAAAACGCTGCTCCCACAAGCCAAACCCTTCTCCCCTGGCAAGTGCAAGGGCCAGGGAGGGGAGATGAAGTGGATCAGGGTTGCTACTTACTGGTGCCCTCCCCAGCCAAGTGCAAGGCTGGGAGCTGGCTCTGCGGGGGGGTGGGCGGCGCCAGCACCAGGGCCTGGAGCCCAGCAGGGTCTGGGCTCGGGGTCCGAGCAGCCTGGGGACGGGTCTTGTCTTCCTTGCCTTTCTCTCTCTACAGGTGAAGAAACCCGCCCAGAGCGGTGTGGTGCAAAAAATGCATCAGCAACAAAAAACAAGATCCAATAAATGTCAACCAGAAGGAAAAAGACAAAAAATAAAGAAACAGAAAACTGTGGAGAAAAAGATCTGAAAACCAAGGTCATTCACTGGCCCATAGGAAGAACGGCGGCGGCCTCTGGAGACGGGGAGGAAAGCTTTCCATGTGCAGCAAAGGAGAGCAGATGCTGCTGGCACAGGTACCTTGGCAGAGCACAGAGCACCCCAGCTCTCCACAGGAGACCCAATACAAGTGTCACATGAAACAGCGTTCAGCCTGGAGAGCTGTGGACTATGTGTCCAAATCTGGATCTTTTGTGTCGCAGAGCAAGGAGGGGACTGGGGACACGGGAAAGGCTGGGGAAGGGGCAGCAGAGGTGTCCAACAGCTGCTCTATGTGGGGGGCTGATGGGGCTCAAGTGTGTCCTGTCCCCTCCCTGCGACTAGTGTCCCACCTCAGAGCAGCACTGCCTGAGGATGGTCCCTGGTGCAAATGGGAATGGGCTGGACAAGGGAAGCAATCTGCGGCAGCATCTGAACTCAAGTTAGGCTAACAACCTCCTCCAGGTGTGGATTTAGGCAGGGTATGGGCAACTGCCACACAGGAAGGCTGAGGCAGGTGATGCCGCTGCTGGGTCACACCCTTGCAAATAAATTCCCCCTCCAAAGGGCAAGTTCTTCAAACTATGGCCTAGTGAATGTACCAGGATATGAAAGAATCATCACTGTAATCATAAAAATGATGAAAATGGGCTTAGTGAAGCACAGGGCAGTCTGATGCATAGCAGCAGCGAGAGAAGGGTGAGGAAGTCAAGCAATCCCTCAGTCAGAGGCCAGCACACCACTGGGAGATGAAGAGCTGGGGGGTGTACAGAGAAAATGTGGCCAAGAACAAAGTGCCAAAATACAGGAGCCGAAACAGAACTTTCCCCTCCCACTGAGAAAAAAGTGTTTGAAAAACAAGCAAGATAAAACCCACTTTTCCCTGGAGAAATTCAACCATGTGTGTCACCAGGCTGGAGTCTTAACTCTGTGCTTACCTGATCTCCCTGTTCCCCTGCCTGCAAGGGACTTGGCTGTCCTTGAAGCAAGGTTGTAGAGGTGTTTTTCTTAGCTAAGACTTACTGTGACGTAACCATCAAAGCCTCCAGCAGGACCGGCTCACCCCAAGTTCAGTATTTCACCTGACCTGATTGGCTTCTGTCTTTCAATTTAAACCCCCCCAAACGCACACCACTACCTACGCTGAGTCCTCGGTCAGTCTTGACTGAGACTTGAAGTAAGAAGAGACCACCTTTCTTCTGAAGTGATGGCCTACTGCAAAGTCACCTTTTCTAAATAAAACTAAGCCTTTAATGCTCCACTTTCACTGGGGAACCAACACCTATGCAGCACCCCGAGCTGCCAGCTTTGTGCCACACCGCTGGGAGTAACTGGCAACGCAGAGTGCAAAAGCTGTTGCTGACGGTGGCACCCCTTAATGTGAAAGGTCTGAGACACAAACATGTTTCTGCACAAACTTCAGAGAACAGCAGAAAGAGCAGGAAACCACAGGAGAGGATATCACTTACATTCACACTCATTCAGGCGGCCATGGGCCAGGAAGAGGACAGACTGCCATCCTCACAGCTCTGCCACAGCTGTGCCCCAGCAAATGTCCTCCAGGTTGGCAAATGCAGCCCAGGAGCCCTCGGCTCTGCCCACCTGCAGCAAGCCGCTGGCAGGAAGACGAGCTGGCTGTTTGGCCAGTGGCTGAGCAGCCTGTCCCTGTGCAGGGCAATTTTTGTCCTCTGAAGGACAAGTGTGCACACACCACCCCATGCTAGAATGTGGGCAGCAAATCATTTCAAGCACTGGGAAAGAAGTGCTGCCTGGTAAGCAGAGACGAGAGACCATGTGGGCTTAAAGATGAGCTGGGTGAGCAGGACCTTCTCCGAGTCCAGACCTCAACCATGCTTTGCTTGTATGCCTGCTCATGGGGCAGACAGACAATTGCAGCAGAAAACAGCATGTCTGCTCTCAACCCAGTGCCCCTTTACCTTTTTATTTCCTCCTCCAGGGACATGGCTGATGTTATCTAAGGACCCAATTTTCGATTGCACCTTATCTTTGAAGTCCAGTTTCTCAGATTTCACCTCCACTTGGCCACCACCTGGAAGAGAAGGAGCATGAGCAGGATTAACTCCTGTGCCAGCCAGGGCAGGCTGGAGAGAAAGTGCTCAGGTCTGAGCTGCTGCTCTGAGGTGGCCTCAACCAAAGCAGTGCTGAGGCTGAGCAGAGGGTGAGGACCAGGAAAACAGCAGCAAGAGGGACCCCATGGTGATTTAGGAAACCCAGGAGCCAGGGCAAGTGGGAAACAGGGTAAAGAGACTTTCCAAAGGATGCTGCAGAGCTGACAGACATCCCAATGTTTTATAGAGCCAAGGGAAGGGAGCTAACCTTACTCCCCTAAACACCAGCGTTCCCCCTCTTTATTCCTAAATACTTCCCATTTACAGTGGTGTGTTGGCACAGACAAGGGTGTCCATGGACTGGACCAGATCCCTCCCCTATTACCAACCGGTCAGGCAGACTGGAGAGGGTCTCACAGTGACAGAGCTGGTAACAGCATCCAGCACCTCAGAGCTCACTCTGATGCTCCAGTCACTATCCCACGTGCCTCCCCTCACTCCCTGCACTACCCCAACCGTCTCTGGCTGCACACCACGATGCAGCCTGTGAGCTCCCAAGGACCAGCACACAGTGCTGCTCAATGCTGCAGAGTCAAAGGGTACCTGGTTTGTGATGGATGTTGCCCAGGGAACCACATTTGGATGTCACATGGCTCAGGTCAACTGGCTTGTAAACAATTTGAACCTGTCCATACAAGAAAGGAAAAGGCAATGAGCTTATTGCCACCATGGGCAACCTGGGCAGGGGGAGGCACAACACACACCGGCACCTGATCTGGATTCAAGGGAAAGGACAGCTTGAACCCCAGTAAGATTAATAATACAAAAGAAACTGTCATCAGAAATGGGAGATCATTAATGCCCATGTGCAGTAGCCTCTCTTAACACGTCAGCATGCACAAGATCACCTCTCCACAGAGGGGGGAAGTAGAGGCAATTTTAAAGTGCTCAAGTGAGAGAGAAAGTGGAGTGGTAATTAAGTAAGATTTGCATACACATCATCCAAAAGGAGGAGATATACCAGAGAGAAAACGTAAAAAATAAATACCTTTTCTGGTGTAAAACATAAAGCTTATGTCCACAAAAACTGAAAGAACAGAAATGATCAATGTGCACAGAACTTTAAAAAGAGTGACCAAAATATGCATTTCTGAAAAATGCTGTAACAGAAATAAGGGTTAAAAAAAAGCACAAAGTAACGTCTAAATATCTGGCAGGAGTTCACATAATATAAATTAAAATGGCAATTATAATATATTGAACCACAACATTATTTCATGATACTATGCTCTGTGTTCTATTGGTTTTACCCGTTACGTCTCTGAACATGGGCTCCAGCAATTCCACTTAAACCGCCCCATTCGAAGACAGGCCACAGCACAGCGGCATGCCTGGGTGTGGGGCCGGCGGCCTCTCACGCACGGACAACTGGGTTACACAAGACGCACACACAAGGAACGGTTAACGTGGAGCTGTTTAGTGGTTACATTAGCAGTTAAACACCACGCTGGAAAACAACTGAAGAGGTCTGGAACCATCAGGCATGTCGGGGACGGCAAACCACAGCACATACACACCAGCTACATCAGGAGCAGGAGACAAGGGGGTGAGAAAACATCCCCATACCCCCAGAAGTTACGTCGGACCCTGGTTTTGGACTCACACCTGTGTGTGAATCAGCTATTGCTGTAGTTAGCAGGGCTATGCAGAAGAAATCGGATCACCAACACCTCAAGGTTGGTTTCTGCTCACTGGGAAGTGTCTGGCGCTCAGTAATAGCCTGGATTTCAAGGTGAGCATATGTTACTCTCTCTGCTTTCACCAAGCACCATGGCAGGCATGCTGCTCTCACAAATCTTGAGAAGGATGTGCCAGCACCGAGGGGACCTTTGCAGAGGAGCTGACTCCTCCAAGCAGCCAGGCAGCCTCTGGACCTATGTGGCCAAAAGCCAGCACAAAGACCCACTGTATCCACTGCTCTCCATCAACCTGAGCACCCTGTGCTGACTCAAAAGCCCTGGGGTGAAGGTCCACCCTTCAGTTCCTTCATGCTGGCCCCAGGTCCACCAGCCCCATCGCCCTCAGAGCTAGGTGTTGGACTGTGGTTGTGCACACCACTGAGAAACACTCCCCTCTCCATCATGCAGCCAGGAAAGAGAGGGCAACAGAGGCTTAGTGCCACTGTCCCACTGTCACAGAGCCAGAGCACTGTGCATGCAGGCCTGCCTTGTCTCCAATGCTCACACACACCAGAAGGCACACTTGACAGAGAGTGGAGACAGAGTGAGGGGAGAAAAGCAACCCTAGGGTCTGGGAGCACATCACAGACACAGACATAAAGACAGCGTTGAGGAATGATCACACATTTAATGCACTGGGCAGGAGGAGAGCTAGATTCAGTCAGAAGGCAGGAAGCAGACCCCAAAAGGACAGCTGGTGCCTTTCTAATCCCAGCCGTGACCCCGAAGGGTCTACGAGCAATTCGGGCACCACTGGGACCTGGGATTGAAAGACCTCCCATTTCCAGAGCAAGCAATTGGCAATTGAAACACTTTCTGCTCTCATTCCAGTTCCCTTTTTTTACAGGCAGGACTCCACTAACCCTTACCATCCTGCTGGGGAGCAGAGAAGGGTCCTCCCCATTTTAGCAAGAAAGGAAAAGGGACACAGAGTTGCTTGCCTGGGAAACCAGTGCCAGAGACCTGGGGATCCCACCTCAGCATCAGCAATGCTTAGGTGAACTTCTGCCTAACGCATCACCTTGTCAGAGCATCCACTGGCTTAAAAAACTGATACCAACCCCAGGTTACTGTGGCTAAAGTTCATTCCTCTTGAAGCAGCAATGGCTGGGCAGGCAGTCACTGCTGACAGCGTCATGGAGAATTAAGACATGACAGCCATCAAAGCCCGGTGGTCTCTTGCTGCCCCTCTATCAGAGGAGCCCCAGGGCACAGCTCTGCTGCCACAACAGCCTGTGCGGTCATGCTCTGGCCATGTCAGAGCCTTGCTCCAAGCACCCTCACCCAGAGCTAAGCTGCTGCTTTCCTTGTCAATGCAGCCAGCAGCAATCACATGATTTTCACTGCTGGCAGAGCCTGGGGAGGGATGACAACCTCCAGCCAAAAATCCAGATATTTCTTAACCCACTGCAGCCACAAACGCTTGCCCATGGTGTGAGCTCGCAGTGGAGAAAAGGATGAGCTCATCACCCTTTGCTGAAGCTAATTACCAGCCACAGCACAGATGATTCGTGATGAACACTAACTCCTGGCGTAACAAGTGGTCCTCCACACACCAGGCAGTCCAGCCAGTGCAGGACCTTGGGGTAAGAAAGAGCAGAACAAGCATGGAACCTGCTTCACAGAGGTCTGACCTGCGCAAAGCAGCTCCTCTGGCCCGTTAAATAAATGCATAATGACATCAAATTTAAGACGGAGGTTGCAAACCCAGTTATGTCCCAATGCTTATGTGCCAAGCCCTCTGCAACGCTCAGTTTCTCAGGTAGGGCGTCCACAGAGATCAAAACCAGCACAAAGAAAATCCATCAGCAACATCTGAGGGGCACCAGATAGCTTCCTCAGATGGCTGCAGACCAGGCAACCACAGATGCTGGGTCGCACTGTTTGGGGTCTCAGTGATGCTCCTTCCTTGGTCTGTCGTCTTTCCTGGACCCAAACTCTGTCTCCAGAGAGACCGGTGTAAATCTGCCAACCTCTGTGAAGTTTCTGCAGGTTTCTGGCACAGTAACTGAAAGCTGAGTCCAGCTATTTATCTGGGAATGGCTGGAAATGCCAGCATTCAAATCGATTAACTCAATTATTACTTTAGGCTCAGCCTCCATGGGCACTGCCTAACATACACCGGACACATTCATTAGCAAGGAGAAGCTTAATATTTGCGTGGATCATACTTGCCTGATTTGAATGGGCAGGAACCAGCGCTTTCACATGTTGTGCAGTCATGTGCAATTTAGCAGTACATTAAGCAACAAGGACTGTGTTTGCTTACAAATCTATCCATCTACTGCCTCAGCAACTACGTCACTGTCTGCTAGAGGCCACCCATCCTGCACACGATGAGACATTAAGCCTTCCAGGTAGTGTAAAACCTTCAGGTTAACAGGATGTTTTGTTACAGACATGGTTTCTACATGGGTCAGTTAGTTCTGTCCATGTCAGGCATGTACAGGACTTGTTAGGGTTCATCTAACCATGTCTTTTAGGTTAATGGGGTTAAATGACAGCACGTCACCAATTGCTATCTGACAGCAGGGTTGCTGCAGATAGCATTGGCAGTTTAGTGTATACAACATGCCACTAATAATAAGGATTATTACAGTGCATTCAAAGTGTGAAAGTACTCACACTGCCTCCTCCCGGGATGTGTTTGATATTATCCTTTGAGCCACACCTGGATTGAACGCTGCTAAAGTCCAACTTCTTATTAACAATCTGCACCTTTGGTAGCCAGAAAAGAGTCATTGCACGTCACCAATATCTATCTGACAGCAGGGTTGCTGCAGATAGCATTGGCAGTTTAGTGTATACAACATGCCACTAATAATAAGGATTATTACAGTGCATTCAAAGTGTGAAAGTACTCACACTGCCTCCTCCCGGGATGTGTTTGATATTATCCTTTGAGCCACACTTGGATTGAACGCTGCTAAAGTCCAGCTTCTTATTAATAATCTGCACCTTTGGTAGCCAGAAAAGAGTGTGAGAAACAACATGACCATCTGCAGCTTGACCATGCGTTACATCACTAAAACCAGGAACCTGCCTTCCAGTGCCAAGAGCAAAGGAGAACCTCTGGCTTGCTGCATAGATTTGTCTACTCATGGGCTGGAAACTGAAGATGGAGGTGGGCAGGTTATAGCTAGAGATTGGATACATCTGGCTAGCAAGGCAGCCCTGGTTTCCAGGCCAGAAACACTAGCAAAAAAGCCAGCTCACCCCATTTTCTTTCACTGAATGAAATGGGGAACTTGCTGGGCAGCAAAGACACTGAAAGGCACCAGTGGTCTGAGGCTCAACTTCTGCAGAGCCAGTGGAAGAAGGAAGGATGGAGCTGAGAGAAAAGTGCCTGCTCAGCCCCGTCTCCCACGCTGGGCAGCATGCCCCCTCTCTAGGACAGATACGTGGCCTCACATTTCAGCAGCTTGAGCAACCTGGGCAAACGGGTACAGCTGGCTGGGGCAGCAGGCTGGAGAGCAGGAGCTATGTGTCCAGCACTGTCTGGGAGACGACACCTGAGCTGTGCAGGGCTCAAACTCCCTCTACAGTTACAATGAGAAAAAGCAAATGCTGCCAGGGATGCAGTCCCATGCCTGCAGTTTTCTTAACTCCTGTATAGGTGAGATGAAAGGGGCAGCACAGACCAACCCCAAAGGCAGCTGCTCTATTGCATATTCCTAACGCCATCTCGAGCAGGAGAGAGGCTGGAAATGGCTTGGTGCCACAGGGGAACACATACCATGCTAACTTCACCCTCCAGTCCCAAGGCCTGTCTGCCCTCTCCCCACACACACAGATTTTTGTAGTAATTATTTAAGCTGTTTCCCTTTAGGGCTTGTTTTCCCTATTTGGGTTTTATAAGGGCAGCTATGCTGGAGTGACCCCATGCATAGGAGCAGCTATTCCAGACAAGACAAAGATGAAGACAGCTCCTGCTCCTTCCCCTACATGGACTGGAGTGGCTTTACAACCTGTGCAAGTATAAACCAGAGGTAAATGCAGGTAAAAAAAAAACAGGCACACAGGCCTGTGCTCCCTCAGGAGAAAGCCTGTCTGAAGCACAACCCTCATGAGAGGAAAAGAGACACAGCATCCTGCAAGAAAGCAGCATCACATTCACACTGCAAATGCAGTCCCTGGATGGCAATGTCTACGCAGCTGGCTGAGCAGGCAACCTCGCCCTCAGTTTCAGCATGTCCCTGGCCTGCTGCTACAAGGAGAGCTACAAGGAGAGCTCCTCGCTATACCCTGGTTCTTTAGCATGAGAAGCACCAAGGCTGACACATGCTTCCAGCATCATTTTCCAAGTTCATATCAACTAATCCTGCAAATCAGGTTGCAGGTCTGCTAGACCAGGCTTTGCCAGAGCAGTACTCAGTGACACAGCAACAACAAAAGTGCTCAGACAATGCAGAAATACTGGAAGAGATCTGGCCTGGCTGACTCCTGGTGCATGTGCCCCATGTACTTTTGATTCCCTAGGCTGGGGTCTGAAATCTGCATGGAGAGCAGGCTCCAGACTCATCTTCTGGCCACCCTAAAATCAAACTCGTTAGATCAGCCCCTTCTGCCCCAGCCCCAACCATTCTGCTAAGAACAGCCTTGTGTCCTACAAAATCCCCAACAGAGCATCTAGCCATTCTCCCCTGCAAAAAGCAATGAGTTGTCCCAAATTCAGCTGTTCTTACTCTTTCAGTGACAACAATAAACAACATGTTGCCTGAGAGAGAAGCTGACAGAGGAAAAAAAACTTGTAAAAGCTGGGTTAAAAAGAACAAGCAAACAATTTAACCAATTTACAGTAAGCGGAAGGGTTTCTTCTAAAATCCCTGAAAAGCAGTGTTTTGTGGGGGCAGCAGGAAAAACTTACACCTTGTGCTAAGTGGGCAGGAAGGTTGAGGCCCCAAGACACAGGCAGCTGGAAGGACTCATGCTGTTCTGCTCATGACCAATGGCCAGAGCGGCCCTGCCCAGGCTCCAGACCCGCCCTGGATTGTAGTACAAAGCAAAGTGTGCATCGTCCAGTAAATCACCAGCCACAGCAAAAAATGCACATAAGAAAATGGAAAAGCACGCTGCTATTTAAGATGGTGAAGAGAAGCCATCTGTCCTGGTTTCAGCTGGGATAGAGTTAATTTTCT